GGCTTCAGAGCTTTTGTTATAAGGTCGCTATGTAGTCAATTTCACAGCACATAACAACATATTTAGAAGCTGAAGGTAAGAAATTGAAACCCACTAGCTACTCTGAGGGAGAAAGATGGGAAATCTCCTTCAGTGTGATTTATTGCCTCTGAAAACCCACTGGAGGGTCAGCTATGGGTTTCCGATTCAAGGACACACAAAACCAAAAACAATTAGAAAGTGAATTAGAGGAAGGGACTTTCTCTAGTACTGACACCTTGAATTCAGACTTCTAATCTGTACTGAGGCACCTCTGGTGGCCCAGTGGTAAGAAGTTGTGCTGCAATCCCGAAGACAGAATGTTCGAATCACCAGCTGCTCCATGGGAGATAGAGGGGCATTCTCCTTCAGTGCAATTTACTGTCTCTGGAAACATACTGGAGGATCAGCTATGGGTTGCTTTCAACACAACAGCACAGAACAGCAGCAATACGCACTGTGAGAAAAGAAATGTTTTCCTTAAAACCACTCACTTGTGGTATATTTTATGATGGCAGCACTAGATAATCAAGACAAACATCATTTCCTGGATTTGAGTGTCTCTAGATAAATTAACTAGAGTTATTTCCTGGCTACCCCCTCCACTTAAGGGATTCCACGAATGCATGAATTTAAGGTCTGAAATCTTCACTTTAGAGTTATAAGATTTGTTTAACCTTTTATATGAAATTACTTCATCTGTAACTTTGTTTTGAGCTCAGTTCCACTTTTCTTCTTATCTAATATTCTGGAAATATTGTTTGAAAAGTATGTTTTTTTCCCTTTGAATTTACAATTCACATTGGTTTTTCATTCAATTATTTATAAGTTTGTTTTTTAAACTTTAATTCCATTGATAATTATAGTTATTAATTGTAATATCAAACAATACCTTTTTGTATGTTGCTTTTCCTTTTCCCAGTTTTATCTCTTTATTAATTTTTACTGTTTTCTTTCCTTTATTTCTTTTTAGTAACATAAGCTGATTAAACTCATCACTTTAAGTAATTATTACATGGTTCTTATTCATTTAATTATTATTTACAGTAGTATATTATATTCCGTGTTTTTCATGCTGCTTGAACTAAATTATTATTATTAATAGCTAATGGTTAGCATTGAGCATTGATTTAAATATTTTCCATGCATTACCTCACTAACTTCCAAATCCTTATTTTTTACTTATTTTTAAAAAGTCTTTGAAATCAATACTATGTTATCAAGTCCAAAAATATGTAAATGACAGACGTATCAAATGAACAAAAATGTTTCTCATTTGCCAAATGTTAGAATTACAAGTCTCTAAGAGCTTAAAAATCATTTACTATTGATATACAATGAAAAGAAAATCTGATTCCTAAAACTCACAAAGTAGTAATGGCTTGCATTTAGTGAATGTAGTTGGGATTGCTGTTATTATTAGGTACTGTTGAGTTCGACTCACAGTAATTCTATGAACAGTTTACCTAAACCTTGCCCTATCTTTGCCATCATCATCCTCATCATCTTTGACATACTTGAGCCCATTGCTGAAGTCATTGTGTCAACCCATCTTGTCGGGAGTCTTCCTCTCTGCTGAATCTCTGTATTTCCAAGCATAATGCCCCTTTCCGAGAGATAGCCTCGCCTAGCCACTTATCCAAAGATAAAGTATCACCATCCTTGCCTCCAAGGAACACTCTGGCTGCACCTTCTCCAAGACGTATCTATTTGTTCTTTTGGAAGTCCGTGGGATATTCAGTACTCATCTCCATCACCACAACTCAAAGGCATCAATTCTTCTGTCAACCTTATTAATTGTCCAGCTTTCTGATGCATGGCAGGTGATTAAGAAGACCATGACCTGAATCAGGTACCATGACCTGAATTAGTCTTTAAACAGATATCATTACTCTTCAGCAGAAAAGACAGGAAGTATGTTTTCTTTCTTTAGAGAGATTAGAGTAATATCTGATAGAAGACACCAAGTTGAGATACATTTATATAGTGCAAATAACAAAGTAAAACTCATTGGCTTAGCTGCAGTAAGAGGAAAAAAAGAAGAGTATTTCCCTAAATCTTTAATTCCCAAAGGTAAAAGCCATGACTAGGGTGAAGGTCCTGTTTGATTCTTATTCCTCTGACATACACTCAACTTTTCTTCCCAAATGTCCTCACTAATTCTGAGCTTGCTTAATCATCAAAGCAAGCAAGGAAAATAGCAAACATCATGTATAAGAAGAGAGCTTAAAATGGGAAGATTTTTATTCTACTCTCTAGAGGGACCCTGATGGAATTGTGGGTAAGGGGCTGTGCTATCAGCCCAAAGACAGGCAGTTTGAAATTCTCTGAAGAAGAAAGATGGACAATCCCCTCTTGTATAATTTAACTTCTGAAAACTCACAAGAGGTTCACCTATGAGTAGGTACCAATTTGAAGGCAAGGAGTGACTGAGTGAAGGTTGGTATGCAGATACATGGGCTTTTAATCTGATGTCTTTTTATACGAAATTTAAATGTAGTTCTTTTGCTGAAATATTTGTTCCAGATAGTGCTAAAAATATGATATTTCTGCCAATTCTTGACTATTATTGTTATTGTTGTTATGTGGCATCAAGTCCCCTGAAGCTCATAGCAACCCTATGTACAACAGCTCTGAAGCCTGCCCTGTCCTGAGTCAGTCTCACTGACGCCAACACACCTATCCCCATTGCCCCAGTCACTGTATCAATCCATCTCAAACAGGGTCTTCCTCTTCTGCGCTGCCCCTCTACTCTTCCAGGCACGGTGTCTTTCTCCAAGGACTGGTCCCTCCTGGCAACCTGCCCAAAGTGTGTAAGATGGAGCTTCAAAATCCTTGCTTCCAAGGAGTAACTTAGTTTCATCTTCTCCAAGACAGACTCATTTCTTCTCTTGGCGGTCCAGGGAATGTTCAATATTATTCTCCAGCACAACAACTCTAAGGCATTGATTCTTTTTCTATCATCCTTAGTTATTGTCCTGCTTTCTGATGCACAGGAAGTAATTGTGAAGATCATGGTCTGATCAGGTGCACCTTAATCTCTAGACTGACATCGATGCTCCTCAGTATTCTGGAGAGGTCCCTTACAGCAGATTTTGCCAAAGCAATTAATCTTTTGATTACCTTATGGCTGGTGCCAAGAGGGTTGTTGATTGTGGAGGCAAGCAAATTGAAGCTGTTAACAATCTCAATCTCTTCTCCATCTATCATGATGCTGCCAATTGGCCAGATGGTGAGAACCTTTGTTTTCTTGATGTTTTAGTTTGAATCCATGTAGAAGGCTGCAGTCCTTGATCTTCTGCAGCAAATGTTTCAGAGCCTCCTCAGTTTCGGCAACCAAGGTTGTGTCATCTGCATAATGGAGGCTGATGAGTCTTCTTTCAATCCTGATGCCACATTTCTTTTCATAAAGTCTAACCTTGAGAGGGATCTATTTCTCATATAGATTGCAAAGGTATGTGCTGTCAGATTAGAAATCACTCATAGCTGACCTTCTATCACCTTTTCAGAGGCTCACAAGGGAAGACATTGCCCATCTTTCTCAGCTCACAGCTGGTGGATTCAAACTCGTGTGCCTTTGGGTTGGCTGCACAGCTCCTTACCAGCAGAACTCCTTGTGTATGTTAATAAAATAGTGATTATAATTTTGTTGTTGTTGTTATGTGCCATTGAGTCACTT